TTAAATTCAGTTATAACTCCTGTTATCTCCCAGGTTCTTTCTGCTCACTAGCATCAATTTTCTTCTTCCTTCTCTACAAATTGTCTTTCTAAAACATACCAAATTCTTGGAATGATGTGTCAAGCATATAGATAGATCCCCAAGTTTTGCCTCAGACCTAACTGGACAATAATCTTTGTTAGTTTTGTTTAAAAATTTTGGCTGATTTCTTTCTTTCTTTCTTTCTTTCTTTCTTTCTTTCTTTCTTTCTTCCTTCCTTCCTTCCTCCCTTCCTTCCTTCCTTCCTTCCTTCTTTCCTCCCTCTCCCCTTCACTCCCTCCCTCCTTCCATTCCTCCCTCCCTGCCTCCCTCCCTTCATTCTTTCATTCCTTTCTTCATGTTTTTGTAGAAGGAGGGATGGAAAGATGGCTGAGCACTTAGAGTGCATGCTGTTCTTCTAGATAATCCATGCTCAGTTTCCAGTTTCCACATCAGACGTTTTAAAACTGCCTGTAACCCTAGCTCCTGGGAATCTGATGCATTCTTTTGACTCCTATGGGAACTCTACTCATGTGCACAAAGGTGATTTTTTTAAGAGTTTTCATTTATGTGTTTCAAAGACATATTTTTATTTTATGTGTATGAGTGTTCACCTGCATGCATGTGTGTGCACCATGTGTGTGCTAGTGTCTGTGGAGAACAGATAGAGTGGTGCTAGTTACTTGCAGTGAAACAATATTCTGGTACACTGTAAATGTGTATTATTCTCATTGGTTAATAAAGAGCTGAATGGCCAGTAGCTAGGCAGAAAAAAGTTAGGTGGGATTTGCAGACAAAAAGAGAGCTCAGGGTAGAAGAAGTTGGTTGCTGAGAGACTCAGAAGTAAGATGAATATGCTATGCTCAGAAAAAGTACCTCCATGTGGCAGAGTGTAGGTAAGAAATATGAGTTAATTTTTTGTAAGAGCTAGTTAGTAACATGCCTAAGCTATCAGCTGAGCATTTATAATTAATAATAAGTCTTTGTGTGGTTATTTGGGAGCAGGCTGGTGGGACAGAACTGACCAGCAGTTCATAGAAAAACTCTGCCAACAGTTATTGGATCCTCTGGAACTGGAGTTACAAATGGCTATCTGAGTGCTAGGAACTGGACCAAAATTCTCTGCAAGAGCAGCAAGTGCACCTCTCTAGCTGCTTGTAAAGACCAGAAGAGGGCATCAGAGATCCTGGAGCTGCATCACACATGGTTGTACACTGCCCAATGTGGGTGCTGTGAACTGAACTCTGTTTGCCTCCAAGAGCAGTAAGTGTTCCTAATTGCTGAACCATCTCTCCAGCACCTCCTCCAATTTCTTCAGAGAGGAAGTGTGTATATGCACCAGATGGGATGGTAAATAGTGCCATGTCTAATAGATTACAGCAGAATGGCTAGTTGTTATGTAGATAGTGACTATTTGTATCTGTATCTCCAGTAGATACCATCTAAGAGATCCCCCAGCCTCTCCAAGTTGCTGCTGAAGGAAACTGTTCTTTACTACTCTATGCATATCCCATGGCTTCCTACATATTGGTTATTAAAATTCATTTTTGGTTATCAAGAAATTTGTTATGATTCCTTATTTGCTCTGGATACCCTCCCTTCATCATTGCTGTATTGCTCTAGTTGGATGGACATATATATATATATATATATATATATATATATATATATATATGTGTGTGTGTGTGTGTGTGTGTGTGTGTGTGTGTGTGTGTGTGGTGTGTGTGTGTATGTATCACAATTAGTTTTGAACCAACCCCTTTTGTTAGAGTTTCAAGAGAAACCATATACTTGATATGCTTGCTTCCTGGGTTTTCAGATGTATATTCCTTTGCATTGGAGTCTTTTTTGTTTAATCAATTGCACCAAGTAAAAATTCAATTTTAAAGTCTTCTTTTGTATAACATTTTCCAATTTAACATCACTTGTCAAACATAAAGCAAACCAAGGATTGTGGCATAGTGACTAGAAACTGCTGGAGTCAGAGAAATGACTTATTTACTCCCATCCTCTCAGAAGTACAACATTCAAAAAGGCTTATTTAAACAACAACAACAACAACAACAACATCCTTGCCTCATTTAATTTCCAACCTTTTCTTCTATAAAGTAATCATAATCCATGTTTGGAATATAATATTTTTGTCAAGTAAGAGAAAAACATTCCTCATGCCTGATGTCTAAGTTGATAGAGATATGTTCAAGTCTAAAACTTATGGATTCACCTTATTATTTTTGTAGCTGAGTTTTCTCTGTTATTTCATTGGCCAGTCAATGTAAAGGCAATCAATCAGTATTATAAGGTTTAGAGAGGAAAGTGTTCTCGATTTGGGAAGGGAAAGATGTCTAGGTCTGACACATTGCAGGAGCTTCAAACACCTTAGTACACTAACACCTTAGGCTCAGGGAACATTGCAGAGGGCAGAAAGATAGTAAGAGATGGAGGATCAGGGAGTTTGCATGAGATTGTGTAAAGAAGCTTTACCTATAAAGTCTTATCAAAATGGTTTCCCAATCATGAGTTGAACAAGGACAACACCAGTGGACATGGCAAAGTGGATGGGGAAAGCTCATGAGTTCTCAACCCAACACAAAGAACTACGGGCAACTGAAGGAAGATGAGAGGAGAAGAGGAGGTCCTCCCCAAGGAAGAGAAAAAAATTGGTTACTTAGTGCCAACAGCCCTGAAAACACATATACAGGTGCGTTACATAGACCGAGCAGGCTAAATTTAGGAATATATGTGTATATACATACACATATATGTATACAATAACATTTAGTGAAACAAAGCAGCCATGGATTTGATGGAGAGTGGGAAGGGGTATATGGGAGGCCTTGGATGGAGGGAAGGGATGGGAGAAATGTTGCAACAATATTATAATCTAAAGAATAAAATTAAAAATGTTAATAGCTGGATACATGATAGTATCCCATTGTCCTTTTAAACATACCCCATAAAACTGCACCTGAAAAGCAGGAACCCTTTCCCCTCCATTTGTACTCACAGCAGTAAATTCTCACCATTTTATTTAAAGAATTTGTTATTCTTACAAGTAGTGGGGTTAAGTGGCTACATGTTAAACTTTGGGCAATAAAACAACATTTTTTGGAAGATTAGTTTTGTAAATTTAGAATGCAAAAATGACTGCGAATGGAATGTCAAATATAGGAATTTTATAGGCTTGGCAGTCTTAAAGATCAAATTAAGCGTTAGAAGAATGACTCAGTGGCCAAGAGTACTGGCTGCTCTTCCAGAGGACCCGGGTACTGTTTCCAGCACCCATGTAGCAATTCTATTCTCAGCATCCACATGGCAGCTCATAACTGTATTCCTGTTTCAGGAGATCTGGCGCTCTCTTCCGGCTTCCATGGGTACCAGGCATGCGCATGGTACATAGACATGCGGACATTCCCCCAACACACACACACACACACACACACACACACACACACACGCACGCACGCACGCACGCACGCACGCACGCACGCACACACACTATAATTTCTTGAATGTGTAGTTTCCTGTTACTAAAATTATTTTACCCATCATGTGTAACCATTAACGCTTCTTGAAAATATAGAGCATATTGTTGTAGCATTGTGCATTTGATCATTCTTTGGTTGAGAGCCATCAGGGCTGGCTGTCTACTTTGACCTTATTATTTATTTATGGATAAATATATAATATTACACACCACTTTGTCATAGCTGAAGTCATATCAATATTTAACATTTGGGTAAAGATAGCAAAAATCAGCACATTCAGTCTATTTTTAAGGATTTTTGTCTAGTTATACTGTAATGATTTTTTTTATTTCAATGTAACTAGACAAAAATTATAGCCGTTTACAAAAGTGATCCATAAAAAACAAATAATAAATTTCTCTTTGCTAATTTTCTTGTGTCACATGATTTATCTGTTGGGAAGGCAATGAGTGCTGATAATGGCTGTTGAATTTTTGACACATGGGACACAGGAGTGAGGGACTGAGCTAGTGGGGAGCTCTGTTCTTCCTAACAAGCCACCTGGAGGTCAGCCTTGTACATAGCCTGAAGCCTTCACCATTAGTCTATTACCAAGAAAGTCTCTTATTATGTAACAAAAATCCTTCATCTTACTAGTGAGAGAGAATAAAGTGCCAAAAGAGATCTATCTATCTATCTATCTATCTATCTATCTATCTATCCATCCATCCATCCATCCATCCATCCATCCATCCATCTATCTATCTAATAAACAAGGATACCCAGCCTTTCTCTCTCTCTCCCTCTCTCTCTCATTGATAAATGAGGCTACCCAGCTTGAGAAGAACCAGTTACAAAACAGTCTTGAGAGGAGAGTGGAGCAAAGCTGGAAGAAATCTCAGAAAGGGAAGCAGAGAAGACATTGGGGCTAAAGATGGGGTGAGGGCCGGGACTCGGATTCATCGCTGTAGAATGAAAAGTGCCTTCCTTTCCAGTCAGAGTTTGTTTCATGACTGCTCCACCAAGTAAGCGAGTGCTAACTCTCCATCCATACAGGAACAGGTAGAGACTTCAGAAGATGAGGTGATTCGTCATCACAGAGATGGCAGCTTAAAGGAGTGTGGCATTTTCTTTTAAGTTTTATTGTCATTTGCCTAATTATTCATCTTTTTTGACTATTATTATGGCACAAATGTCAGCTGCAAAGATTGTTACCTTAACTTGAACAGTATACCATAAATTACGTTATGGTGTTCAGCTGTTTAATAGGCAAAGATGATGATACAATTTGAATAATTTCCATCCAGTTTAGCAATACACAGAAAGTCACATTACATTGACTACCTGGATAAAAACTGCTGCCAAGACCATTGCTTTATATATGATGTCTTTAATACATCTACTCTAATAATGTACAAAGCTGCTTTAGTAATTTTTCAAAGTTATAGTTCCATTTATTAAGTCAACTTAGATGGAAAACATGCCTTGTTTTCCTTCTTGTCATCACTTAAAATATAGTCTTTGACCTTTGCTCAAAATAACTTTCCACACAAATGATATTAATTATGAAGACAACGTTACAATTCATGTCCACTGCCTAAAACTGAATTTTCAGAAAGTTCAGAACTGAAGAAAGCGAGCTGTCGCTTGAGCTGCCTTTTCTCCCCCAGCCGGTCACACAGTTTCACTTCGATGTTGGTATCGCTGAATGCATCTCTCTTGGTTTTCTCTACTGGATGCTGTTGTCTTGATAACGTGGTTCTTTTCTGTGTCACTGAACTTCTGTGCTTCCGCACTGGAGAAAACTTTTCTTTTATTATGCAATAACAAACAGCAGACAAAAAATTCTTTTTGAAGTTTTCATTCATAAATGCATATACAATGGGATTACAGATGGAGTTGAAAAACCCAATTATTTGTACTACAGCAAAAACCATCTTGATTGTGACTTCATCATATTCTTTTTCAAAATCACCTGAAATAGAATAATACTTTAGAATATGGATTGACTTTATTGAGAAAGTTAAAAACTACCATCTGATTTTGTCAGAGGCAAAAGGCATGTACATGTCTGCAGCCCATTGTGGGAGAGGAATCTGATTACCTGGGAACGAATGGTCTTCGTGATGAGCATTCTTAGATACACAGGCTGGCGTCCAGCACATACTACTGGGCTTACAGCATTTACACTAAATATTCAAATGTCATGCAAACTAGAAGCAGGGATTCTTCAAGTACTCACTTGCATTGCAGAAACATAGTCACATGGAAAGCCCTGTAAATTCATGCTTGTCAGGGAGACTATACTGAGGTGCTGGCTAAAATCCCAAGTATTATTAAAATAATACAGTGTGAGTTGAGATTGTAAAAAGAGATGGTTCATAAAATGACACATCACTCCCCTTAGGGATAATGTATGAATCTGGAAGCTTTCCTTTATTGTGTACAGCTAATAAAGTGCACTTACTTCCTAAAGTGCCCTTGTCACACATCATCACCCACCACATGGGGAACTAGAACTCTTGTAATAGGAAAAAAACCAGACTCAAGGCTTGGGACTGGATTAAGCCAGCGAATAGCAACAGTTTTATAGCCATTCCTGTCTATTCTAGCAGGAAATGGACCAGGAAGCCATCATTCTAGAATGCTAAGTACTTACTGTATTCAACCATCATGTGAACAACATGGAAAGGTGCCCAGCACGCAGCAAAGAGAGCCACCACTGTCACCATCATAACCACAGCACGCTTCTTCTTCCTAGACCCCCAAGAAAGCATTGTGTTGGTTCACTTGTCTGTGGAAATGTGTTAAAACATCTGGACAAACAAAAGTTGAGCTCAGGCCACTCAAACATAACCACAGGTAGATTGTTGCCTTTCCTGTGTATTTTACCCTTGTCTTTGTGTTTTTTGTCCAATAAATGTGCTTAGGATGTGTGCTCACTGTGGTCTGTCATTCTGCAGGTTACTGACATGGATTATATCATTAATATTCAAGGAAATCAATGGGCCAATGCAGAAGCTGCTCCACACCGAAGGTTCCTGATTCACAGTCACATGGCTAGTAACTGACATGCTTTGGGTTTGGATTTAGGAATCCAAAGTTCAGTGAGTGAGCTTTAATTCACTGTGTACTGAAAAATCATCCTCGTCTTTAACATCAAACATTGATATTTATAAAGTACAGTAAACTGAAAGGCTAGAATTAAAACTCTGGTTTACCAGGAATTCAAACTCATTTCTTCTTTATTTTTCTTACAAGGTAGATTTATATCTGTGCTAGGACTATATATCTGCTTTGTATTTTAAAAGTTCATACTTGCACCTCTTCTTTCAACTCTAGTATCCCCCTTTTTTCTGATGAAAGGGTATATAATTAATTCAATAAAAATTCTTCCTATATTCGGAGAGGCTTGTCCTTATATAAACTGGGCACTAGAGGACACTGCACACCGAGATTTAGCTACATCCCATCAAATCCTTAAAGTCTGTACCAGAGGCATCACTTGTTTTCATTTGAATGCTCATTCAGTAGAGATATAAAGTATGTGTTTTAAAATGGATACTAACGAGTAAGGTAAGAAAGCTTTTATGTTGAAATCAAAGTTTAACAATAACCATGTAGAATAAATATAGTGCTGCAGTTTAAAACCTTTTTATACGTGCCATCTCATGTATGTTAGCATCATCTTTGAGTGATAGGAGGTAAGGACGATGTTTTATATAACCTTGTATATACGAGGAAGAGATCTGTGTCACATGGTCAGCACGGTGACAGAGAGCAGAGGCCCCCAGGACCAGAGAGCCCTGACACCAGTTCATAGCTCTTTCCACAAATCATATTTATATACATTTATATACAGATGGATTGTAACCATGCTGTAAATTCTCTTCATTCTTCCAACTTCACTTTGATTTAAGAACAAATGATTTTGATCTATCTTTCTGACACACATTAAACTGCACAAAGTTTCAGGGGCTTAAGTACTCTCAACTTAGATTACTTTGGCTAACTTACCCAAGAGTTCTGACAACCATGGCAACTGTCCCTTCTAGTACAACTAATTGAATATTTTAGACAGAGGTGAGCATTATATCAGACAAACCTGGCTATTTTGGACATTTCTTTTCCATGAATAGTCTGAAGCACTGAACTGTCTCCAACTCTTTTCTTGATCCAGAGTTCATACCCGATCTTACTGTAGAGGACGAGCATCACCACCAGAGGCAGGAGGAAGAGGATGACAAGAATGAAGGTGGTGTAGATTTTCTGGTGCACAGGGCTGGCCCACTCTTCCAAGCAGCAGACATGTTCTTTTTCATATAGGAAGTCATACTTAATCTTTATAGCAAGAATAATTGAGTTGAAAGAACCATCATCAACATCAGAAGCAGTCAAGTGTTATCGCAGAGCATCATTTTAAGACTTTTCAAATTTGTCACTGATACTATTGCAAATATGAATGACTGTTTCGTTGTTATTTTGTACTAAAAATATAGTATTTCCACTTAACCTGCTTAGGTCTTTGAGAATTTTGTGTTTTTAGATTTGAAATGGAATTGAGATCTATGTATGTTTCTTTTGTTTCTTGCCTTTCTCAACTTTTATTTCTGTTTCTCACCACTTTTCAGTGAGCTAAAAGAACACACCATATGCTGTCTGTTTTTAATATTAATTAAACTAATTTATTTCTTTCTCACTTGTTGAAGCAACAGACTTGGAGAGTCACCAGACTTCCTTAAAGTAAGAGATGCTAAAATAGGCATTGAAAAGGCAACTGGTAGTTTTTAAATTAAGACAAATGAAAAATGAGATTCAAACTACTGCCAACCCAAAATAATTCTAATGGTATTTTATGCTGATTTATCCAAACTACTTCTGGCAGACTCATCTTTAAGATCAGACACTGTTAATAACAACAGGAAGTGGTCTGGCTCATTTCTAGACTGAACTGAACCCTTTAGCATATTCAGAAGCCACATCTCTAGGTATCAGGGTTGGAAATGTGAGCATTTACCAGGAACTCTCCTCTAGGCACACTGGATCTTTTCAGGTTGATACTTAGGTTTTAGACATAGTTTTGTTTATGTTTATATGCCTATGTACAACTTTCATCATAATCTTCAGTAGCAATTGAAAAAGCAAGAAAATTCAAGTTCTGCTCTAGGTGCTACTGACAAACACAACTAGGATGGTATAAGCCATTGGAAAATGATTTGAACTTTTTATGAATGGAGGTAAAAATATAACCTATGCTGACACTATAGAAGCAGGCCCTGCAATGACCATAGTCATGGCATAGCAAAGCCTAAAGCTCCATGCTAGTCTCTGATGAGCTCACATAACTCTAGGGACAAACTAATCTCTGTGTGCACTCTAATTCAGATATTTTCTCTTCCATCTCTCATGTGTGCACTCCATTCCCAGCCCGATAGTCTCCATTCCTAAACATACATTTTTCTAAAACTTCACTGTTTGAGACACCACCCAAGGTGAAGTTATTTTTGATCTATAATTCCACTTTTTTTCACCATTATCCTCATTCTGATTTATGAATGACATCTGTCCCCAACACAAATCTTACCACAAACATCAAGGAAAGATACAGGTTATTACTGAGGCTAGTGAAGCCCTCCCTTGGTTCAGGTGTCACCAACCCATGGAGAGCTTGGTGAGAAACACCCATGACAGAGTGTTCCATCTGAGTGAGGAATTAAGGCTTCTATGTGCTTGCTTACACTCTTAATTAGAGTAGTAAATAGCATTTAGGAATGAGGTGGTCATGGGATGCATGCTAATACAAGACAAGAAGCAAATGTGATTGGGCTGATCTGATAGTGAGCATAGTTATGCCAATTATATTGTACAAGTACTTAAGGTATATTTAAAGTATGCCATGGGGTAATTTTTTTAAATCACTACCATATATATTTGTTTCTGTGGTCCAGAAGTAGACTTCATTATTGGAATGTGTCATTTTTGAGTGATCCCATCACTCTACACCCTGCCAGCACAAAAGCCATGTTTGTGGTGTATAGAAGGGCTGGGGAATGGAACAGCAGCCAGAATGCTTGGGTATCATTGGGAAAACCCAGAAGAACAGCAATAGTCATGAGTCACAGTCATACCCAGACCTCATCTGTTCCTTCTTCTGCTCATTCTCCTCACCAATTTGTTGGAGAGAGAGGCTCAATGAACACAGAGGGGCAGAGACACCCTGAAGGCAGGCATGGCCCTTTACATTTCTAGGCCCAATGTCAATTCAAGCTGAAGTGTCACTTTTTAAACTTATTGTATGAACTTACATGATTAAGGCAGTGGACTAGGCATTTTATAACAGACTGAGGCAGCATGCACAGGGCCTACACTGGTCTGCACCAGATGGTGTCCCAGAGCTGGAAGGAGAAGCGGACACATGCCACATCCCTAAGACAAACACTATCCTAAATTGATAACTTGTAAAAGAAAAATTCTTTTCCTCCAAGGTGGTCTTCCTGGGAAAACAAACTACTCCTAAGGATAGACAGTGTGGCCAATACGAGTTGATGAACAGAAAACTAATTCAGCAGCGTATTTGGATGCTCCTCGTCTATAGTGCCCTGTCAGAGTTTTAAAAAGTGTATTTCTAATCCTTCAAGTTTTGTGTATATATTATGGCTTCTGCTTTTGTGTTTTTATGGGATTCCCGAGCGTGCAAACAAGTGGGGCTCTGCGTCTATGTCTGTTTCTTATGCCTTTTCTTGGGCTCTTTTCTGTTTGTTTGTTTTGTCCTATTTCAGTTTATTATTATTCTTTAGATGCCTATTTGCTTTCTAATGAGAGACAGAAAGAGGGTGGATTCAGATGGGAGGGGTAGTGGGGATAAACTGGAAGAAGAGGGAGGGAAAACTGTAATCAGAATATATTGTGTGTAAAAAAAACATCTATTTTTCAATGAAAGAAAATATAGAACACTCATTGGATTCTCAATTATATTAAGACATTGGAGCATTCTAGAGAAAAAACATGTTCAATTTGTAGGAAAATGGAGAAAGTGATCTTGAAACATTAAAAAAAAAGTTAAGTGCCAATGTCTTGCCAGTAGAATATCTAGAAGAGTTAAATAAAACAGAGAAAATGATTTTATTTCATTTGAAAGGTTTCCAGTGAAGAAGCTGAGGTAGAGCAGACTTGCCAACATGCTCTCAAGATGGGTAACGGCTGTAGATGAGAGATGTGGAGAAGTATTTCAGTAGTGTAAATAGTAATTCAGCCCCAAATCTACCTCAAGTCTTTGCACATGCCACATGGGTGATCCTACGATGATGGCCACCAACCAGACCACACCTGTAAAAAATGTGATAATAATCATAATGTGTTAAAGCAGAGCGGTGCCTGACTGTACAGACTCTATCTTCAGTGTTCCTTAGGATACAATATTTCCGACAGAAATACTGCTTGTTTATTTATTTCATATATTAATTAAATTTGCTACCTTTGATGATTCTATAGCTATACACTGTGCATCTGATTATATTCAGACCATTATAAGACATCTTAAGATTTTAAGCACTCAATACTAAATACTAAAAAGGAAAATTCATCTATTACTACATTAGACTTTAGGCCATTGTTTCAAATTCAGCCTTTTTATGGAATGTGTTGTATTGATCATATCTTGCTGAGCCAGGGACAGTCACAACAAGAACCTAGAGTTGCCTGAAGTGAAATGAAGAGAGTGGAATGTATCTTTGTCAGGAATTTGAAGAACTCTACTGCATTATCAGGCACTTGAAACCTCTATGTGAACTGTTTGGGAGCCATCTCTGTAAACACCCCCGTTCCCTGCTTCTGTCAAAGCACATTTCCTGCTCCACATTGAAATCTTTTGCTCTTGTACACTCAAGCCTTCTCATCTCAGGTCAGAAGAATGTTAATGTGGAAATGACACTGATGGCTATCAATCATTAGCTAAATGACATGCTTAAAAGTTGAAGACTTAAAACCAATGAAATATATCCATAATAATGTATTTCAATATCATTGCTTCTGAAGGAGAGATGGTGTGTGGTAAATACAGAGAGGGCAAAACCCCTAAAATTATACTGGAATGCTTAAACATAAGGGAGAAAACTTCAACTGTACAAATGCACTATTATTCTATAATGAAGAATGGCATTAACACTGTAGGTGGTACACTAGTAGCCATACCTAATGTTACTATTTGAGTGTTAAATGTCCTCCAAAGTCTCAAAGGACTTGACTGCTAGCTAATGGACTTTGGGAGAGATTATTGGATCATGAAGGCACTAACTTTATGAATGGATAAATCCACTGATGAACTCATGGATTAATGGACCACTCAGAAGTAGGACTTGTCTGGAAGAAGTAGGTTATTGGTATGTAACTTGTCCCAGACTGTTTCTGTCTGCTATGAGGTAAACACTGTTCTACCATATGTTCTCATCATGCTGTTCTGTGTTACTGTCCAAAGGCCCAGAAGTAACAGCCAAGTGGCCAAGGGCTGGAATCTCTGACACCATAATGCAAAAGCAAATCCTTCTACTTCTAGGTTGTTAATATCAGATATTTTGACAAGTGACAAAAAGTGACTCACATACCCAAGATTGTGAAAGCCCTTCGGTTGGTGTACTGCCCCTTCATTTTAAAAGGATGGACAAGTCCTTGGTGCCTCTCAACAGCAATGCAGGCCATAGTGAGGATTTCTGTCACAACGGCTGTGGACTGGACAAATGGCATCATCTTGCAGATGAAGGCACCTGCAGCGAGGAAACAGATGTGTCATACAAAAACTGTTTTGTAAAAGTAGTTTGTAAATGTTACAAACCATTAACTCAGAAGTCTCATGTTTATAACTATGCCATGGATGCAAACTAATGAACAAAGCCTGCGTTGGCTCATGTTGTATCTCTGACTAGAGTTTTAGGTTCCCAAGAGCTATGTCATTGTGCATAATAAGACAATGGGAGACACAAATCAGTATTTAGCTGTTGGTACCAGGCAGTGCAAGACTACAGTCTATCTGAGTGACAGAGTAAGGTGGTGCACACCTCTAATCCCAACACAGAGGAGACTAGGGTAGGAGAGTCGTTGAGAGAATTCTTTAAGTTTTCTTCCCAGTTGGTTCTCTGAATTCATAACAAAGGAGTAAGTCCCATCAAACTTCAGTGTATTTGTGTGCTTGCTTGCATGTGTATGTGTGTTGCGCGCATGTGTGCGTTTCATGTGTGTGAATGCAGATGTGCATATGTCATGCAGCCCACATGAATGTCAGAGGACAACCTTGGGTGCTAGGCCTTGACCTCCATAGTGTTCCCTGCTGTTTGTTTATGCTATTCTACTTGGCATGCAAGCTCCTGGGATTCTTTTCTTCCTGCCTCTCATCTTCCCATAGGAGCAGCGGAATTACAAATGATGTCACTGAATCTTTATTCAAGGGGATTCAAACTAAGGGCCTCACACTTGTGCAGCAAGTCTGCTACCCACAAAGCCCTTGTCCCAGCCCAGACTCAAATTTCTTCTTAGAGTGCCTATACAACTTGACATTTTATTAAACCTTTAACCATTATAATTGCTTTAGTTCTACACAGGGTATCTGTTTTTTAAATTGAAAATTGATTTTTTTCCATGCAATATATCCTGATTATGGTTTCTCCTCCCCCTAGTCCTCACAGTGCCTCCTGTTCCATCTGGATCCACCCCTTTTCTGTCTCTCATTGGAAAACAAACAGGAATCTAAGGAACAATAACAAAATAAAATAAGGCAAATAAAAAACCAAACAAATCAGAATAGAACAAAATGATAACAAACAAACAAACAAGAAAACGAGCTAAAGTAAAAGCACAAGAAACACACTTAGGTGCAGAAACTCATATGTTACACATATAGGAATCCATTAAAAACACAAAATCAGAAACTATAATACATACACAGAGGACCTTTAAGATAAAAAAAAATTCCTGACTCAACATTGTAAGACAAAGAATTTCAAAAGTGAACCATCGCATCTGGCAGCATCTGTCTTGTATACATGTATTTCAGGGACCAATTCAGGCAATCAGGCTTGTGGAGCAAGTGGTTTAACAGTTGAGTCATTGTGCAATTACATCAATATGGTTTAACTACCCAAAAGTCTGCCAACTTTTGTTGCAGTATTCATTGCAGTGTTATCTCAGTACAAATATGTTCATTTTGTCCACCATGATCTGATGGGGCAAGCATCACCTGAGTTCCTGACTTCAGGATGCACCCTGATCCTTATTTAACTGATAAACTTGAGATTCTGAGCCTCAGTTGCACTGCTTAAAAAAGGGTTGTTAATATACCCAGTATTTCCCCAATTTGCTTCTTGATGAATGGCAGCTTTTTCACTTGGGGGCAGCAAGACTGTAAGAGCTGAGGTACCCGTGGTATAGTAGGGGCTGCTATATTCTTTTTGGTTAAGTCTGTAAGACTGAAACAAAACAGGTGTTGATTTTGGTGATCTGGGGTTGTAGCTTAGTGACCAAGTCTCTGGGTTCATCTTCCACACCCCAAAAGAAAGAGAAAGAAGAATTTTGTTTTTCTCTCCCCCTTCATTGAGCCTCTGTTACCAACCTTCCCTGTATGAGCCACTTCCTTGATCTGATAGTCCCTGAGCTTTGAGGCTCTTCTGTTTTCTTGTCCTCCCCTCCCCAATGCATACTTTTCTAGAACATGTCTCGTGACATTTTTTTCTATTCTTATGATATTTTTTTATTTAAATTTGAAACAACCTTGTTTTACATGTCAATCCAAGTTCCCTCACCCTTCCTTCCTTCCTTGTCCCCACCACCACCCCCATCCCATCCCCTGTCTGCTCCCCAGGGAGGGTGAGGCCTTCCATGGGAATTTTCAAAGTCTGTCATATCATTTGAGGCAGGGCCTAGGTCCTCCCCCATGTGTCTAGGCTGAGAGAGTATACCTCTATGTGGAATGGTCTCCCAAAGTCCATTCGTATACTAGGAATAAATACTGATCCACTACCAGAGGCCCCATAGACTGTCCAGTCCTCCTGACTGGGTGGTCTGGGTGAGTCCTATGCTGGTTTTCCAGCTATCAGACTGGGGTCCTTGAACTCCCCCTTGTTCAGGTCAGCAGTTTCTGTGGGTTTCTCTATTTTTTTCTCTACTCTATGAGGAAGCTTCTCTAATGATGGATGAACAAGGCACTGATCTATGAGTATAATAGAATATCATCAGGAGTCATTTTATCACTATTTGTCCACCCCCCCCCACTTTTTAGACCAGTAGTTTTTTAGACCATAGACTTCACCCAAGCAGTGTTGGGTAAGAGTTAACATCTCGTGGAGTGGACCTTAAGCCAAATCAGTTATTGGTTGGTTACTCCCACAAGCTTTGTGCCACCATTGCACTAGCAAGTCTTACCGGCAGGACAGATTGCAAGTCAAAAGGTTTCGAGGCTTGGTTGGTGTTTATATTATCTTTTTTGATAACATACAGAGTATCTCTCTATGCCAAAGATGCTGGAACATTAGGGATGAAGGCTCTATGTAGGTACCAGGCTTGACATCTCCATTCAATATAGGGACTTTGTTATCAGTTTTTGGAGAGCAATTTACTGTTTTGGCAACAGCCTGCATTGTTTGGGGATTCGTATGGGCCTCTTTAGACAGCAACTCAATTAAATGTAACCCAATCCTGGTACTTGATATTGCCTTTGATGAAGAGAGGTGGCCAGCTGGGATTCTTCCCCCCCCCCCCCATTTTTTGGTGGTTTCATTTAGATTGCTTTCATGTATGTATATGTTTTAGAAAGTTTCTACTGTATTAGGTTTCCACAATACCTCTCAAATTCCAGTTTATTTTAGCTGTTTCTCCCTGTATTCCCTCCCATAACCCCATTCCCCTCCCCCCCCCCACTTGGCCTTCCCATTCCAGCCATATCTATCTTTTGTATTTACCTTTTTCTAAGGAAATCTGTTAACTCTAGTCCCTTACTCTAAATGTACATGTGGATGCATGGAATCAAGATTCACTAGACTCAGTACAGGTTAAGTGAAGATTTTTAGGGGAGAATGCACTTACATGAGAGATTGATGACCTGCAAGTTCCCTCTCCAAGGATCCACACCCAGGCTTCTCTCAGTGACCCTACCAGAATCAAGAGAGTGAGCTGGAGTCCGGTCCCCAGACCTAAACCCACACCATCATTTCTGCACCTGTGACCTCACCTGTTCGTGCATGATCAGTGTTACAGATACATGCAGGATGGATATCTCACTACACCTTCATTCTGTGGTTCTATGAATTGTAGCCCTGTTATAATGGACTTAATAGCTAATATCCACATACAAGAGAATGCATGCCATATTTGTTTTTCTGGGTCTTGAATATCTCACTCAGGATGATTTTATTTTCTAGTTCCATCCATTTAACTGCAAATTTCATGTTGTCATTTTTTAAAAATGGTTGAGTAATATTCTATTGTATAAATGTACCACAGTTTCTTTATTCGTTCTTCTGTTAGAGACATCTAGGTTGTTTCTAATTTCTGGGTATTATGAATAGAGCAACAATGAGCATAGCTGAGTAAGTATCTTTGTGGTAGGATTGAGGGTTCTTTGGGTATATACCCAAGAGTGGTATAGCTGGATCTTGATGTAGACTGTTCCCTTCTCCATGGGGAGCCACCACACTAATTTCCACAGCAGCAGTAGGAATTTGCACTCCCAGCAGCAATGGATGAGTGATCCTCTAACTCCCCAGTGTATCCAGTTTTACATTGAGGACTTTGATCCATCTGGAGTTGAGACTTGTGCAGGGTGATCAATATGGATCTATTTGCATTCTTCTACATGCGACATACAATTTGACCAGCAACATTTGTTGATGATATTGTCTTTTTTTTTTCCATTGTGTATTTTTTGGCCTCTATAAAAAATCAGGAGTCCATAGGTGTGTTGACTTATTTATCAGTCTTCAGTTAAATTCCATTGAGCAACATGTCTGCTTTTGTGCCAATACCATGTGGTTTTTATTGTTATAGCTCTGTAGTACAACTTGAAATTGGAAACAGTGATGCCTCTAACAGTTCTTTTATTATTCAGGATTGTTTTAGGTATCCTGGTTTTGTGTGTGTGTGTGTGTGTTTATCTGTGAAGCTCAACTTTGTCCTTTAAAGATATGTGAAGGATTGTGTTGGAATTGTGATGGCGATTACACTGAATCTGTAGATTGCTTTTGGTAAGATAACCATTTTTTACTTAAATCATGGAAAGTATTTCTGATTTGCATCTTCTGATATTTTCTTTCTTCAAAGACTTGACATTTTTATTGTACAAACTTTTCACTTGTTTAGTTAGAGATACTCCAACATATTTTATATTATTTGAGGCTCTTGTGAAAGGTCTTTTTTTTTAGACAGTTTGTTGTTTGTATATGGGAGGCTGCTGATTTTTGTGCATTAATTTTGTGTTAAGCAACTTTGCTGAAAGTGTTTATCATCTGTAAGGAGTTCCCCAGTGGACATTTTAGGGCCATTTATATATACTGCCCTATCATCTACTAATAGTGATGTTTTGACTTCTTCCTTTCCAATTTAAAATGGATATACCAGCTTGCTTCTTAGGTCCATTTTCTTGGAATATCTTTTTCACCCCTTTACCCTGATATGATGTCTATACATGTTAAGGTGTTTTTCTTAACAGGAGGATTGACCCTGATTTTGCATCCATTTTGTTAGTCTGTGTCCTTTGTTTGAGGAATTGAGACTGTTGAGG